ATAAACTCAAAATAATGAACATTTATATTTTCTTTTTTTCCATTATGCTTTTCGACAAATAAATCACTCGATTCTTCCTACTTTTCTACAACCAAAAACTGACAAAATCTTACGGCACCTTAAAGAGCTTGTTAATTTATACTTGAATCTAAAATCATCGTGTAGAACTTGTCCAAAATGTGAGCAAAAACTTACATGTGCACTCTTTTCTTCTCACAAAAGCTAGGTTTTATTTTTATCAAGTAATACTAAATAGTTTCTTTACAGCCTAAGGGAGAATGTCGAAAATTTCTTTTTTTAAAAATGACGATACAAAAAGCGATCTCGGTCAGTGAGCCAGTCCGTCCCTGGAATTACCCACAGTCCGTAAAAACATTCCCTACACTTTCCGCCGCAGAAAATGTTGCTGCGTCATAAAAAAACTATTTTTTATGTCAACTTTTCTGTGTCAATCTTCCGTTTTTATCAGCACTTCACTCTCTTAATAAACGGAACGAAAAGCACAGCAATCTCAGATAAAAGCATTCTATTTTTGCTCCGTCACTTTTCACTAGATATTTTTACAAGCATTCAGTCTTATAGGCTCTCTCCCCGCCCTCTCCGCCAAAAACAATTGAAATTTGTGAATGCAAAGGCAAATGGAATGCATGACTGTTTATACTTACAGTAAGTAACAAAACTTTTTGTAGAGTTTCTTTTTACATCACATCTAATCGAAAACTCTGTTAGCTATATAAATCTGCATTAAGGCTCGTTCTTAGCTATTGGATAAATCGATATAGGCTCTACCATCATTACATCGATTTAAAGTGCAGAAGATGAGAAACACTTTTTCCAATGCAGTTTTACACGCTGATTCCAATGGTGAAAACCACAGCTCGCTCTCAATCGAGGAAAAACAGTTACACTCATTTTATTTTTCAGCAAAAAAGCGCATTTTTCCCAGCGGCTTTTGTGATCTTCCACAGTTTATTTAGACCTGTTATCCCTTTCGTACAACGGTCGTTTTTATCTCAATGAAAGAGGATGTCGAGATCTACATAGATCAATAAAAAAAAATTCGTATTAATTTTTTGGAACAGGTCTAAAAGCTCTCTAGAAAACTCCGGTTTTCCAGCAATTCTAGCAGATTTGGGATATATTGAAAACTTTTCAGTCCGTTCAATTCTGAATAAAACGAGACGTCTCCGAAGTTTCTAGCACCTCTCAGTAAAGAACTGTAAGGAAAATGCGAAACGAGTCGAATTGTTGCAACAGGTACGAAAATTTCAGCCTAAAAGAACGCTCGCCTTCCGTATTTTCCTTACAGTTCTTTACTGGAAGGGGTTAGAAACTTTGGAGACGTCTCATTTTATTCAGACGTTAATGGACTATCGACTGGTGGATTTAAAAGAATTTTTTTATGTATCCAAAATCCACTGGGATTACTTGAAAATCGGAGTTATTTGGAGGTCTTTTAGACCTGTTCCGAAAATTAACATTTTTTCATCAATATTTTTCATAGATCTATATAGATCTCTTTCGTTTGAGATCTACGAGAAGGTTCTACACGCGGAAATGCGCTTTCTAGAGGCTTTGCAATAGTGGGCGTTTCTGCAGGATAACGGTGAAAAATGCGCTTTTTTGCTGAAAAATAAAATGCCTATAATTTTTTTCTCTAGATAGCTAAAGAACTGCGGTTTTCACCATTGGGATCAACGTCCAAAATTACATCAGAAAATGTGTGTCTCGCTTTCTGTACCGTCACTTTTGTATAACGTGGTAGGAGTCATACAGAGTGACCCTATTCGAATCAAGAAAAAAATAGATGAGCAAAGTTGTTCCTATAATTTTGTTACTTGCTGTGGTGCTGCTTGAAACTTGTCTTTCCAACGATAAAAGAATAGGTCTTTCAACCTGTTATTGGGTCTGAAAAATATTGTCTAGAATATGTTTTTGTTATTGAAGATTCGGAAGTTTGATCTCGACTTTCATCTGAACCACACGTTGGATTCTTGTGTAACGTTGGTTGAAAGACATCTCTGCCTGTCATGCTACTAATCTTGAGGGAGATCTCACAAGTTAAAAGTATCATAGATGAAAGTGACCGCTCACTAACAAAGTCCTATGGAATCTTGATAATAACAGTTCTATCCGAAAGTCTTAGGTTTTGTTAAGATTCTGAACAAACGTATTGGCGGAATTCTAGAAGAATCATAATATATAAGATCATAGAAAGTCAAAATGATAGTATCCTGAAAGGAAATAAATATGACATGACCAGGACTTTATGTAAAGATATTGTTAATATATGCTTAATACTGCATAGAATCAGAACCCATAGTATAGTATTTGATTCAGTCAAAAACATTTTGTCATCATTCTCTGATATCGTTTCATTTTATCTCTCAGCAAAATAATTTAATGAATAATAATCAAAACTGCAAAAATGAATTGAGTAAATTGCCTTTTTTCTAATTAAATTTTAATTGATTGTAATAATCCAACAAACTAATAGTAGTTGTTCGATAAGATGTTGTTGTTCGAACAACACGATTTCGATTGGCACGTTCAAAATTGGCTTTGACACTTTCATAATAAGCACCATCAGATAACACCAATGATTGCAAATGGATGCAACGAATTCTAAAAGTAAAATACAATGAATAACATTTCCATAGTGCATGTAGAATCTTTGAGATCTGTTGTAGATTTGGATGTAGATGTTGAAAGACTTAAGAGAAACAGGTGACAACCGGTGAATTATGTCAAACAGGCTCCTGAAGCAATATTTCACCTTAGAGAAAGATGTTAGAATTTGAATTCGAGTTTTACCAGAATTCCATCAGATTCTGAACAGAATCTTATCAACAGTATGTATTTGATTCTCGAAGTTTCGACTCAGTTCTTCTAGGACTTTATATGTATTTATGTAGAACACTCCAGTTTTCATTCAGTCACATTATGATCCCTCGAAAAAATGGTCCGATTGAGTCGAAATTTTCACCACAGATATTCCAGACCCTATCTTAGATTCTAATTTTTTTCAAAACATATGCTCCGTCTCGAGATATATGAAGAATGCGCAACAAAAGTCAGTTTTTTCAGTTTTTTTTAGTGCTTTTCAGCATCATTCATATATCTCGTTAAAGAAAGCATTTTTTCGAAAAAAAAAATAAAAATCTGAGATAGGGATCTGGATTATATGAGGTGAAAGTTTCGACTCGATCAAACCATTTTTTCGAGGGATCATAATGTGACTGAATTAAAGTTAGAATTTTTTTCCAGAAAACCCATAGAAGTCCATGCTACAAAATTCTGAGCAAAAATACATTGATTTCCTTTTCCGCTCTTCTATCTCTAGTATAAATTTCGAGCGAACGTGTGCACCGCATTTGGCAACAAGGTAGAAGAAGGGGGTATCCTTAATAGTTGAATTAAGACAAACTTCAATGTTTTACCTGCGTAACATATGCGAAATAGGTGTAGCTAACGGAGCGTATTTGGTCAATCACTACCTCCATGGAATCTCCTCTCTCAGACACACTTATGTTTATATGTTGAGAGATGCACTGTCATGTTTCTTTAGGAAGTTTTCTTTTGAAAAAATTCATCGATAATCTATAGTGATATACAGACAAAGTTTTCATCTCTCGAATTAGGGCTGACGTTACTGGGCCCCCGCCCAAATTAAAAATAAATCAATTTTTCTCAGCAGAAAAAAAATCTTTTCTTGCGTTCTTGTCTCAATAGATTACCTCCCATCCAAGTCTGACTGGCCGCGACAGCCCTGTCTCGAATAAGCTGAAAGACAGTTGTTATACTTTTGAATAAAAATGTATCTGGTGCTTTTTGAGAAGTGAAAGATTCTAAAGAATATCCTTACACATGTTTAATGTCCTTATGTTACCTGAGATTATCAATGAATTTACTGTTTAATTCACTAAATCGAACTGTGTCCGCATCCCATTGAATTTCCAGACGTTGTAATTCTGGACAGTAGTGAGCACAAACGTCAAGTATTTGATCAACATGAACTTTAGTTATAATTCTTCTATACCATCCATAAGCGGTGCCCATCACTAATATACTACTCAGTGAAAATAAGCAAAACTTGATAAAATTAAATATACTTTTTAAACATACATACTTGATATTTTCTAATGATCCGACAATTTTTCGCCAAAATTGCTCTGTTACATTGGCATTTCCAGCATAACTTAGTCCATGTAGATGTTTACCATGTAACATTAAAAACGTATAAACAACATCAGAACTTAAATTGACCGTATTGCTTAAATCAATAGCATGACAAGTGGATAGTTTTCCGTGGTCAACTAAAAGTTCTAAAACCTATAATAACAAATAGCTCAAGTTTTAAATTGAATAAATTTAGTTTTTCTGACAAACTTTGTCTGTGAAACCATCACAATATGGAACTGCTAAATATTTTAATCTAGGCATTCTAAAAAATATATCTAATAGACAATCTTCACTTAATTCTGTAGATGATATATCGAGTTCATTGATATAGGTTGATTGCCACGGTACAGCGCTCATAGCATCGTCTTCAATGCCTAAAGTAAAATTGAATCAATTATTATTCGTACAATAAACATTTTAAGGAAGTTTTCTTATAGGTTTATTTTGACAAAAGATAATACAAAATCAGACAGCAGTAAACAGGCAAACTATCTCCGCTCTTTATGAGGTAGCCCGTTTAATTTTCTGCAAAATGAGATGTCAACCAACTTTCTTTTCTGAAGACCCAGAGATCTGGAATAATTTTTATGCATTGAAGTATATAGACTTCGATGCACTCTTTCATTTAAAACCAAGCTCACGGCTCTACGATAGGATTGTGACCAGGAGACGTTTGACAAGTTAGCCCAAATCCGCTGGAAAGCGACGAAAAATGTACTTTTCTCCTGTGAAAGTAAAATACCCAGAATTTTTTTTTTTAACAAACTTAGACACCTGCGGTTTTCACCATTCGATTCAGCTTGTCGAGCTCTATCAAATGAGTTAGGTCTCGTCACTAGCGTCAAATGTCGATGTAATGGTGCTAGGTTTCATATGGATTCAGCCTCAAGTAGAGAAGAAGAAAAATTACTGTAGTGGTACTTTTTGTAACTCACTTTTGGACACTTTACCGAGGTTTCTCTTCAATATCAAATAGTTAGTTCATTATGTAGAGAATTATCTGCTCTACAAGATAAGCTTGTTGAATTTTTGGGACAACTTGGTTTGGCTCCATGAAAGGAGTTTTAACGCAAAAAACCGAATTTTCCGACTATAAAAATTTTAATAAACCTAATTTTTTCCAATACTAGATTTCGAGGCTAACACTTGAAAAATAGCCTGTTTTGTTCAGCTTTTTCCGCACTTTCGACTAACATATAGCTCAAAATCATAAAGCTCAGAACGAAAGAAAAATTTAAAATACAAAAACATGCGGTTTTTGAGCGAGTTTTGAGAATTTTCTCAGGGCTCTTCGGAAGATTCTTAAATCGATAAGAAAACGTTCCTGAGACGTTAAAATTTGGATTTCTGGAGAATCAAATTCCATTTTCGAACATCAATGGAGAATCGAATGAGCATGCTTAGAGATAAAAGTAATTTTTCACCGCATAAACCGTTCGTCATGTATAGTCGGTCTTTATACGGACTGTCTCTTAAGCATTCTACTTTGAGTACGAGAACTTCTCGTTCCACGTTCAGTAGTCAATAAAAACAGAGAGTTGTGCGAATTTACCTGAGAATAAACGTTTTTGTTACTAAAGAAAATTATACTCAATTAGCTTTCGAAACGAAGTTCTCATCACTTACTGGGTTCCAGCAAAATGTTTTAGTTAGACATTTCCTCTTACCTGTTTAAATTTCTCGTACGTCATACTTCTCTAACAATTCAACTTGTATTCTTCGCAATTCTTGATAGCTTCTAGAATTATCATCTGAATTCTCAAAGAGGGATGAAATTCTTGTTTGCTGGTCAAACACTACTTAAAAGAACGTAATTCCAAAAGCTGCTTAGATCTAGAATTCAGACTATCTTTTAATGTAGATTTGAAGTTGATTTCTGATGGAATTAGTCAAGTTTGTCATTGGTGGAATCCAAACGCTGCCGTCTAAAAAGATCCTCATATTCTGTTGAAAACGTAAAAGCAGCGTGAAAATTCAAATAGATCAGATGTTTCTATTCAAAATGAATAATTTGTCAGGAAAAAACAGTTTCACTATTTTATTTAAGTTTGTTATGAATAAACAATTACATGACTAAACACTAATGATCTATTCTCCGGTGGAGGTTGAAGTGCTTTCAATGGGGAAAAGGCGATCTTTTTCCGTCTTAGCGTCGAACAAGCTTTCAGGGGCTCTGAAAAGCTTCTGATGCTGCCTTCCTTCTTGAACTCTCTGATAACTTTTGCTTTCACAGCCTTGATGCGAAATTATTTGCGAAAAATATTTTAAGCATTGTTAATGTACCCAACCTATCACATATCCAGCGATTGCATTTCGTGCTCCTTCGATCAAATCTTGTATGCATTTTTGAGAATTTAAATGTTGTTCTTGTATATAATGATTCATACATGTCCACACCCAACAGCATTAAGATAAGAAAGCTATTCATAAAAGTTGTAGGATTCCACTAATGTGTACATACAAAATTTTTTTTCTGATAAAAATGCCTAGCTCTATAATCTCGCTCAGTAGCAATGTACAACTCTACTAATTTATTTTTCATTTAAAAGTACACATCATATCATACGATAAAAGAAGAAATGCGAAATTTTCGTCTTCTGTGAATGTGTAGATCGTTGTCAACACTTGCCAATCATAGAAAAATATTTGGTGTTAGGTGTATAAGATGAAATTTCAAGGCTTGTACAATCGCTGAGAATATGATACGTTGGATACATTAACAATCTTCAAAATATTTGTTAGTGAATAATGTTGAATCCAGGCTGTGAAAGAAGAAATTTAAACCAAAAACAAAATACAATAATCACAACAAAAAATATATATTGAAGGATAACATCGAGTCATTGTACAACTTCAATCATTGTGCAGAATATAGGAAAGAACAGCGAAGTTGATTTTTGCAATTCGTCTGCAAAGACCAAGTTCGTGTGTTCGATTCTAAGGTTAAGAAAATTCAAACCAGAAGCACTTTTTATTTTTTTGACATTTATACATAGCTCGATAGAGCTCGACGAGCTGAATCAAAATATGTGTATTTTAACTTTTCGAATCAAAATTTTAATGTCGAAAATGTACAAAAACTGAAAATTTTAAAATTTTAAATAGCTTAATTTTTGAAAAACCAACATAAAACTCGAACACAATGTATTTGAGAACCTTGGGAGCTTCTTATTCTTGTTCTCCATAAAAAACTAAATCTGAAAAATAGTGTTTAAACACTATTTTTCAGATTTAGTTTTTTTATGGAGAACAAGAATAAGAAGCTCCCAAGGTTCTCAAATACATTGTGTTCGAGTTTTATGTTGGTTTTT